TGAGTTGATCGCCACCCTGCAGACGCCGGAACCAAAGCCAGGAGGCTAGTCTTAGGAACGACCTAGGTCCCTGTTTTTCATCTGACAGTCGTTGGAATGCTCGAAAGCGTGGTTGCGATCGGGTACTGTCGAAGCTGCCGCCGTTTTCAAATCATCCTATAAGCAGAGAATATGTTAGACACGCAATTACACGGATTTGAGCGTTGGGATAACGAGTTCTGTTAAACTTTCTAACAACGTAGAGAAAGAGTGGTAGACGGGCGAAATAGCATGCCTAAAGGCTCTCTGAATTTCACCTAATCAGAGGGAATACCGGTTGCGTTTCCACCATCCGGTGGCAAGGAAGCTACATTTATCTCTGTCCCCTTTAATCAAGGCAAGGCTCAGACGGGCTCCATCTCACCTCAAGAGCCACATTCAACGTCAGCTACAGTCACTATCAACGATACCTAAGCTGGTCGGCACAAAGTTCAAAATGTCAGAGAAGCCGCCGGCGTCTTGGAACTCAAAGACAGGCTGTAGAAATCACTTTCAACATCGGAATGATCAAGTGCCCGGGATGGTTCCCAGACCTGAAACCGGCGAGCTTATACGCCCGGCAATTTTTGCGTGTTCTTGTATTTGGCCGTCCCATGACTCGCCTCCCGCCAATACGGCATTGATATATTAACAGACTCGACACCATCATACGCAATCATCTAACTGCATTCCTATCATATATAGTGTTGGCTTAGAGGACCCCGTCCCATTTCATCTGCGGTAATCACTTCCCGGTCAAGGGGAGCCAGTTCTCGGCAAGTATAGAGATATCGCCCTGAAGATGAGGTGCTCCATCCAGTTTCAGGCGCATCAGTACGTCCGCAAAGCTCTGCCGTGCCAAACGCAGATACTCCGCCGCAAACATGTCTTATACTCCTTGTCCTCAAAACTCTGCTCTAGAAACGATGAAGGCGGAGATTTGAGGAGTCCATCATCTCAGCTTGGATATCCGCCCGCGGGCTCGGCAGTACGCATCCTCCATGAAGTCCCCTTGCCTCGCTTTACCTTACGAGTGTCCCGTGTTCGTGGGCAAGACAAAACACGTGACTCTTGCTGCTTTCCTCGATACTCACAGTTTGGGAACTTGAACAAGGCTGCTCCAATCGGCAGCAACTGAGGACGTATCTGGCGCTATTGATGTGGCCACGAAAAGGGACAAGTTGTGGGTGAAGCACCTTCGGGAATTTCCAGTTTGGTCAGCAGAATACATCCATCCATCTTACTACAATCCATGGCAGAAGGATGGCATGGTATTTCATGGCAAGCCAGGCTGATCCCTACCCTAGAGCTCAAAAGACCCGAGACTACGGACCACCAGGCCCGAGAGCCGTTGGCCCGTAGGTTCCCAAGTCCTGCGCTGCAGATGCCCCATCGGAGCCAGCTATGAGCTATGACGGCCAGAATGCGTCTGGTGTCTGGTGCGTGGCAAGTGGTCACTGGGCCTCAAGCCCAAGCCCAAGCCTGGTGACGATGCTCCATGGTTGGATGCGTGTGGCGCATGGCAAGCTCCAATGTGCAGATGTCGCCTTCCCGAGGCCCCCACTTTATGGCCCGAAGCAATTCAGTCTTCCAGTCACCAGCTGACGCTGCCTGGGCATTCAGTGTTCAGCACCTCAAGCGCCGGCGACGGAGGTTCAGGCTCCATGTCCGCTATTCGCCATCAGCCGGACCAGTGGACCGCTGTGGCCCAGCACCGGCAACCAGCTGCAGCGCTCTCTCCCCAGCCTCAAACCTCATGTCATCAATGATCCTGTTTCTCGAGACATATGCCTGGACCCTCTTTTGACTTCACTCCTCCACGACCGTCTTCTTATGCCGCCCAAACCGACCAAGCTGGTGGCCTCAACCTTCTCCAGCGCTGCTCAGCCATTTCAAACAGCGACCCGGCCCGACGCATATTCTATCCTCGCCTTCATCCTCATCGCCGCCGACCCCATGTCGTCAACATCTGCTCTCTAGTGCCCGATACGCTGCCCGTCACATGCTGGTCGACAACAAGGTGTTGCTGTCCCTCACGGCGCCTTATCAATACGACAAAAAGCCTGGGCAATCAACATCTGCCTACCTGGGTAGTTTTACCTCCTTGGCTCGACTGTACTAGGGCAGAGCCCCCCATACTCGACCACCTCACTCACGATAAACACACACGCACCTGGCCTGGTCTCGTCTCCCGCCCAGACAGTCACCATCGCCGCCTCTCCCGTCTCGACTGTTTTCGTGACCGGTGTCTAGCCAATTTATAGACAAAATCGACCCAAACTGCCACCGCGGCTTGCCCGCGGAACGGTCGACGTGGACCAACCCTCCGACGCTCGTTCCCTTCACCCCATTGTGTCATCCGACGACCCATCCACTCCGCCCACCTCTCGACCATCTCCCAGCACCGTCCGCCCAGCACCCAACCCCTCCTCGCCGCTTGATCGCCCTGGCCGATCCGCCCAACTAGCTCCGGCTTCGAATGCGAACATAGAATCTTCCACTCCAAGACCGGATCTGCCCTCCGGCTCGGTATCGCAGGTCCTCGGTAGGCGACGACGCCCATCTGGCTCTTCTCCGATACAAGATCCCAACGACCCTGCCTGTGCCGACAACGAGGCTGCTCCAGCCGGCACACATTCATCACCTAGTCGTCGTCTTCCAAAGAGGAGGCGGCGAGAGGGCGAAGACATGGCGTCAGACGGCAATTCCGTCCTACAGTCTAATGGAAGCGGCGCCGCTCGCTCAAATGGATCGACTGGTGTTGCTTCTCAGAGAACTGTCTTGCCCAGTGGTGCCACTAACGGGACACACAAGGCAGCGTCTCTAGCTGCTAACGGCTCAGCAAATGGAGACAAAGCCTCTACGTCGGTCGTCCGACCCTCATCATATTTCGGACATAACCGAGAGGAGGTGACCCGAATTTTGATCCAAGCATTGTCAGACATGGGTTATCAAGCGGCGGCTGAGAGTGTGAGCGAGGAGAGTGGGTTTAAACTGGAAAACCCAACTGTGGCAGCCTTTCGGTCAGCTGTGTTGGAGGGCTCATGGGCTGAAGCGGAAGATTTGCTGACGGAAGCTACTGTGGCAGGACAGGCTGGGGAGGATGGCGGTGGTGGAAATGGGCTTGTGCTCGCGCCAGGCTCTGAGCGAAATGTCATGAGATTTGCCATGCGCCAACAAAAGTTTCTGGAGCTTTTGGAAACCAGAGACACAACTCGGGCACTCCAGGTTCTGAGGGGAGAATTAACGCCGCTAGACCACGACACCGCCAAGGTGCATTTTCTTTCCAGCCTTCTCATGTGTCTTTCGACAGAGGACCTGATGGCCAAGGCAAATTGGGACGGGGCAGGGGGACAATCACGCAAAAGGCTGTTGTCCGACCTATCGAGTGAGTGCCCAAAAATTGTTACAAGCCATTAACCGGTTGTGATATGTAGAAACTAATCCGGCCTGCCAGGGTGCATCTCGCCATCTGTCATGCTTCCCGAAAATCGTCTAGCTGTTCTCCTCCACCAGGTCAAGCAAAGTCAGATCAACTCCTGCCTCTTCCACACCGCGGCATCGTCGCCTTCGCTGTACGCGGATCATCACTGCGACAGGCGAGTCTTCCCCAGGGATATCGTGCTGGAGCTCACTGAAATGCGAGGAGAGGTGTGGGAAGTGCAATTTTCTCACGACGGGACGCAGCTTGCCGCCTGTGGATCCAGTGACAGCGTCTTTATATGGGAGACTTGGTCATTCCAGGTTGTACACGCCCTCAGCATGCAGGTTCAAAAAGATCACCATTCCGGCGTGGCAAGTATTGCGTGGAGTCCAGACGACTCGATGATGGTGACCTGTTCGCAGGATCATTTTGCGCGATTATGGGATACCAAGGTAAGAGCCCATCTCGGCCATGTCACCCATTATCAACGGAAACTAATAAAAAGCGTAGAATGGTCAATTGATCAAGAAACTGAAGAGGTTCGACGAACCTGTCAGCAGCTGCATCTGGTCGAGCGACAGCAAATCCTTTGTCCTCGGCACCCTCGATAACAAGCGGAGCATTTGTACATTCAACAGTGAGGGCGAAGAGCTGGTCCAGTGGGACAAGAAGCACCGTGTGCAGGCCATGGCTGGTTCCCCCGACGGACGGTGGCTTGTAGCGGCGGATAACTTTACCAACATGTACGTGTACAACGGGATAACAAGAGCGTTGGAGTATGAGCTAGATTTGGGTGCGCAGCCAATATCTCTAGCCATCAGCCAGGACTCCCGGCAGCTGCTTGTCAACAAAGGGGACAGCGAGGCCCAGCTCATCGACTTGTTCACGAGAGCTACGGTGCAGAAATTCCTCGGCCACATGACGGACCAGTGCGTCATCCGCGCCTCCTTTGGCGGGGCCAACGAGAGCTTTGTCATGAGCGGCAGCGAGGACGGAAAAGTGGTCATCTGGCACAAGAATATAGGGGCTGCTGTCGAGAGGTTGTCCAGCTTTTCCGGCAAGCGGTGCAACTGTGTGGTTTGGAACCCGGCCGATCCATACATGCTCGCCTCGTGTAATGATGACGGAAAAGTGCGAATGTACGTTGGGCCAAGAAAACTAGCACTTTCCGCAGTTTTTTTTTCTTTTCTATTTGAGATTGCTAACAAAAGTCGCAGATGGGCAAACCGCAAGAGAGGCGTGGATATCAGGTCGAGGATACCCGGATTGACGGGGTGGAAACACCATCAAAATGAACCCGTGCCGTTCTAGGCAGGGAGGACTGACTGGTGGACATTGTGGCCCTGGACTCGGTCATCCAGCGGCCTCCTTCAAGTAGGCGCATATACTACGAGTTGTTCTATCTTGTTACACTTTTTACTCCACATCTTTTCTTGGTTTAGACACTTTGCCACGACGACAATAGAGAAATGCACGCAGGACGGCGGGGGCGGTACGCATTCTTCATCTTCATACTTGGTCGGTTTTGTTGAACTATGGCTTTTCGCGGCCCCAGCCTGGATCAGTCTACAAGTTTGTTTTTTTTTTTTTTTTCTCTTTTTTTATTGGCCATATGATTCTATAAGAAGGGGCTTTTTTGATGGCCTCTATTTTTATTTTTTATCCTCTTGGTCACCTGTTCACTCTTTTAGTCTTTGTCCGGTTCGGTCCGTCTTTTCCGGCGTTGTAGCGATGGGCGGGGGTGCGAAGGAGGAAGAGAGCCATGTCTCATCCGTCGGAGCGAATACCTGCAGGATTTGGGTTGCTGGATGGAGCAAGGGCTGTTTGTGCAAGGTTACATGTAGACTGGGACAGCCCTCGACTTGGTACATGCCATCTCCCATTCTCAAAGACCAAAAAAAAAAAAAAATAAAGATAAGCGATTCTAAATATACCGAGGAGAGAGACCCTTGAATGTGTGACGTGAGGTTGCGAATGGCGGGCTGCGATGGCACTGGTGGGAGCTTTTGTCGGTGAGGCGAAGGCGAGTGATATTCCTTCCCGAGCAAAGGGATCATAAAATCCGGGGTACACGCAACATTAGAGTTGGGCGCAGATGCAAGATCAATGGAAACCTTGTCGTGCGTGTGCAGCAAGCACCAGCGTGTCCCAGGTCATGGCCAGTACAACATATGCTTGGGTCGGGCGTTATCACATACAGGGACCAGTTGACGCTTTGTCGAGGCATTTGGTAGTGTTCAGGGGATGGGATGGTCCATGTCGGCGGCAGTGAAGGGGCTGCGCGGGCATATGCATGGAACGGTAAACCCGAGCACAGCGAACCGCTTCTCGGCAAGAAATAATTTTACTTTGCCCTAGTTTCGCTGTCTTTTTGAGGCTGATAAAGGGTTCCCTTGGGCGTCTGCCACAGCGGACCAGACTTGCACGGGTGGTGGTGTGGTGTCACATGGGCGCGTCCTCGAGTGTCATGACTTGGCTCATCTGGGGAAGTGGCCGGCTGGACACGGGGACTAGTTTGCTTGTTTGTACGATTCGTTGGCGAGATGGAGGCGGCTTGTTGCGGATGCTAGCGGCGGTGAGATCCGATGTTGAAAACCATGGCAAACATGCGTGCCACAAGACGCTGAGCGAGCGAGGCCGGTGGGGACAGCCACGGCGCTTGAGTTTGCTGCCATGTCGATTGAGACGGGACGGCCGTTTGCCGAGGTTGGCACTGAATGGAGACGTTATTTCCATTTTTAGCTTCTGGTCCGTGATGCCTCCAGCTGTCAAAGAGCCAGGCCATGCTGTAAAAGTTGTTCACATCGGGCTGGCTTCTCTGTACCACGCGGAGCACAGGTCCAGGCCACCCAGTTGGCCAAAGCTCCGTGGTCCAACCAGAGTTCCAGTCATGCGGAATGGGATGGAGGTCCGTACTTTAATTTGATCCGCTACACTGCCCGGCCATTGAGGGGGTTTTGTCCTTGCCGGCTGTTCCTGGTGACAGCACCGATCGCATTGCATTCAAGAGCCCGGGCCAAACCAGGAGGACCTTGACTGCCAAGGCCATCGTACCTGCATGGAAGCAAATCAACCACAGCGTCTCAAGTCATCATCTGATGAAAGCTGCCAACCCGCTTGCTCTCCCTCGGGCAGCCGCCTTGTCAAGATCCATGTCGCCCGACGACATGTCCGAATAGAGACGTCAGTCAGTCCAAACTGCGGCATGACAAACACCTCGCCAACCAATACTTCAATATATGGATCCGAGATACTCCGTACAGGCGCCTCAACCAAGCTATTGGGCCCCATACAGAGATGGTCTAGAGATAATTGGCCCTTGCTTTCAGCCTCGAGGGCTGGACCAACTCGACGACCAAGGAACAAAGTTTTGGTAGGCTCTGGTCCCCCCCCATCGTTCGCGAGTTCGAAGCACGCCAAGAGATTCTATGGTCCTTTTTTTTTTATTCAAGAAGAACGGTCTGGGGCAAGTGTGGCAAGAGACATGGGGCATTTGCCACTCGTCAGTACGGAGTAGCATCTCCACCAAGTCTCACCTTTGTCGACATGCCTTGAAATGCACAATCAGTACCAGGCATTCACCGCCCAGTTGAAAATGCGAACAAACATGGCATGACTAGCGGACACGTGCCCCCTGTTCTTCTAGAACCCCTGGATTGCTCTTGTTCCACTAAACGGCCCGCATACACAATGATGCAGGGGTTGAAGAAGAGGCGTAGGACCTAGACCAACATCGCGATCGAATGGCATTGGAGATTTGAAACCTCGACCGTACTCTGTTGAGATGTTCCAGTGTCGGAACATATAATCATAAGTGCATGTGAAGTGATGGCGGCGGCGGCGGTAGTTGTTGTTGAAGTCGTAGTAGTTACAGTAGCTGCAGTGATTTGGCATGTCACAATAAAGTTTCACCGACTAGAACCGCATGCGGCCAAGACGTGTTCCTGACCGTTTGGGTTCCATTCAGGTTTGACAGCATCCTCGTTCTGACCGCTGGCCTTGGTCGGTAGCACAGAGATTGTTGCATGAGTTCTGTACAGAGTACATTGTTGGAATATGCTGCGAGATGATGGCCTCTGCGAGCAGTTGCCGCTCTTCCCTTTCATCTCGCCTGGCCGTCATGGACTAACATAAAACTGCGCTTGTCAGGCGAGCACAGCGTCAAAGCCATTGCGAAAACCAACCAACCTGGTCCCTGCCGGATCCGAAGCGACCCATACCGTCGGAGAAGGTACTGTTGCAAAAGAACTTTGGACTTCAAAGCAAGGGAGAGCTTGAGTAGAAGAACGTTGGTTGCATGAAATCTGTCTTAATGCCGCAGTCGCCCATCTTGACCGTCTCTAACTATGGGTAAGGGGAGCTGAATGAGTTGAGAGCTTGATATCTCCCGGTGCATGTGCGGTCGTAGTCACGGCGTCGGTAATGCAGGCAGTACCACGAGTTGACCCGCAGTTTCAGATATCTTGTGGCATCAGAAAACATCGATTGGCCTGCAATTGCATTCGGCTTTGACCCCTTTGATCAGGGACCAGCAACATAGAACCGCCCAAGATTCAGCAGTATTGCCACAGATTGAGAATTGGTGCAATGGCCTGTCAATCAACCAACGACTAACCATCGTATTTCTCCCTCTGTTTAGACGTTTTAGTGCCTCGGACAGGGGCCAAAGTGGCGGCATGACAGCGCAATGTCTCAGAATACACTTGCATCCCGCACCAGGGTTTTTGCTCTTTCGTTCCTGCGCACATCCTGAACACTGCGCTATCCATTGGTCCGTCCGATACTTTGGCAGATATTTACTCCTCGGCGCTTGCCACACACAATGGCAAGGCCGAACAACTCGACCGTTGGCTCAAGCCACAGTTGTTAGCTACGTTGTGACGATCGGCCGAGGTGGTGCGTCCGTCCAGTTGCATGAGACGCGAAATACGGGATAAGACAACCGGCATATCCGTTCAAGTGGCCACCACAATGACCCGCATGATGTGGCGGCAACATGGGGTACAAAGTACCCTACGATTGGGGGATAATGATTTGGAAAACCAGAGGGACCCGAACAGACAGATGCATTCCAGAACACCAAGATGAAAGGCGCCATGCTTGAAACTGGATGTTTCTAGTCTTTCCCCCAGTTTAACGTGAGACGGCATAGAATGGCATCATCGAGTGCGTTTTCCGGGAAGCAAGTACTCTTCTGCTCCAGATGACCCCCAATCATGTAAGATCAACCCGAGGAGGGTGGTCTCTAAGCCACGTCGACGTTCTTTTGCCCCGAAAAGACAGACATATCAGACGAAGACCATTGAGTTGCGTAGCATATCCGCGCTAAAGCGAAGAGGATTGAGCTAGAGACAGCCCTTCACGGGCTATGCTGAAATCGAGTTCATAATTCTGATGGTCTGAACGTTTCGTACCGTTTACAGTCTAGCCAGCGGACTAGGGGCGAAATGGTGGCAAGAGCCAAGAGTGGCATCTTGTTGGTTGTCATGATAAGACATGATGGGCTGTCGCATTAACTTTGGTCTTGGGAGCGCTTTCCCATTCGCCAAAAACACACCGTCCTTCTGCTTCATACATGTATCCCGAATGCTTCGGGGTATCAGGCGTAGCGAGGTAGCCGACTAGACTCTATTCCCGCCTCGTGCATCTCCCACGGGTTATCAGCACGCGCGAGACGACTGGGCGCATAGTATACCTGTCGTCCGGCGCTGTTGAAGTGCAGTTCCATGCATATCAGATGTAAACGTATGCAATTGTTTTGCATGCGTTAGCGTGCGACGCCACGGTTTTCCTATCGAGGGCAAGGGAACCTGGGCAGGCTGTTCAACCGGAATCGCCGTAGCCTACTCGGCGTCACACTTTGAGTTGTCGCTCTCATTTATTGATCCCGCGATATGAAGGGAAATATCCATCCGGATCAAGAAGAAAGGCTATTCAGGGAACTGAATCATGTCGTAAAGGCAGTTGCCTCCTGTCTTGATAAAGCCAGTCACTGGGCGACTGTTATCGCCTGCCAATGGCACAGCCCAGTGTTCATGTGTATCTTCGTTCCTGGCGGCAGGCATTCAGCTGAAGAGTGCTCATGTGGCTTTACGGATATTAAGTTGGCTACTCCATAAGTCGTAGTAGTGTCTGTGTGTCCCTGGTCCCTGGCCGGGCCGTCACCACGGTCAGTGCAACGGCTACAGTAGTAATTGTCAAGGTTGGATCGAAGGCCCGTGTACTGAGCTTGTTCAAAGTATTTGTGTCTCTACCCACCAGAGCTTGCGTCAGCACAATTGCGCCCTGCGGATTGCAAATTGGACAATGCTTGCAGTGATACGGCGTCTGAGGATATCGGCACAGTCTTGCATGAAAGCGGATGTGCATTTTGTAATATTTCGGCAGGCCCCAGAGTTCAATTCTGGAGGTACTACTACTCCGTACTTGGCATGAGACCCCAACATTCTTGGGTATGCTGGGGGAAAATTACTTTGCTTCCAGTCTTGTACGACAATGTCCGTGGGGAACGGATGTGCGTGCCCATGGCAGTTTGCCCTTGCTGGCAGATATGCCGTCTGTGCATTCATATGCCGCTGGATAAGAGCCGAGGGATTGGGGGAGTTTTTCTTTTCTCGTTATTTCTCCTCTTGGCTGGCCTCGCGGGCTGTACCACGATCCGAAACAGGCGGCCAGAAGCGAGTGCCTTGGCGACAAGATGTCTGAGACTTTGAGTCCTCCGGAAGGCCTTAATAGGACGGGGTGGCGGATTGGACACTTGGCTGCAGATGCGATGCGGGTTTACGGAGTAGAAATAGGGAAATTGAGAAGAGAGTGATGTGCGCACTCTAGCCTGTTGAAGTCTGGTGCATGTACAGAGTTGTGTCAAGAAATCGAAGGCTGGCGAACTTTGGCTTTGCACTTCACACGATCGAGTCAGCTAGTACTCCGTTATGCCGACACGGCAGCAAGTTGCGGCGCGGTCGTGCCTTCCCTCCTGCTAAAGACATGGCCCCAACGTCAAGCATCCAACCAGTCGATTGACCCGAATTGAAGTTGTGCACCAACACTTGGTAAGCACATGCTTCAGGTTCACGATGCAAACTGCAAACCAGACTTGTCCCAACGACCAGAGGTTGATTGGGATGTAACATCAACCCTTGAACTTGGACCTCGAACCTCGCGGCCCCCCTCGCGCCCCTCGACCAACGGCTGGACGCACAGACCAAATCCATCCACGACTGATGGTGGGATGGGGCTGCACAACACCGACACCTGGTGGCTGATGGCGACGGCACTGTGTGCATCGAGGACGACGTGCGGACGACTCGGGGACTGAAAAAGATCGCTGCCAGTGAAGCGGGCTGGCGGATGCATGGGACAGGGGTCTGGGGCTGTTCCCACGCTTGAGCACCATTGTGTTCCTGTGTGGTTTGATGTTAATTTCGCCTGGGGATTCCAAGGTGCCTGGACATGGACCGCAGGCCTCAAGGGCTTGATGGGCCTTGACCCGGCCACGACCTGGGCTTGCAGTCGGCTTGCAGTCGGCTGCAGCCATGCTTGCCACGGCGTGCAAATGGCGCCTTTGGCTCCCCAACTCCCCATGACGGAGGCGGATGGAGGCAGATGGCCCTTGAGATTGCTGGGACCGGGGCATGGACCTGTGCATCTGGCACCAACCCATGCCTCATCCCGGTTTCTCCCACGTCAGTCCATCGAAGGTTGCTTCCACACCTCATCGTCCGTCATCCTCCCGCCGGAAAGCCCAATGCGGGATCGCCCTTGGTCCAAGGTGTTTAATACCAAGACCAAGAGACAAAAGTGACTAGTGACTAGCGACTGGCCGTCGACTTGGTTAAACACCATCATACTCCGTGCCAAACTTCAGGACCCATAATAGCCCAGGCGGTCCATTTACCTGCTGCTCTAGTTTCCGCTGCTGCTTACTTATTCTCTTCTCGTCCACTTTTACGCAGTTGTGTGTGTTGGGCGTAAAACAATAACGTCTTCGTTGCCCCTTATTCCCATGTTCCCTCTTGCATCTCGGGCGTATCTTTTCTGGCTTGGACCCTCGTTGCAGTGCAGTTCCATCTAGCAAACTTTGGCTTTTCTAGTTGCCCGCCAAACACTCGCCAAGGACATTAGCAGCAAGAGGAGGCAATACTCGAGTATCCACCAAGGAAAGGAGTCGACAATACGGTTGAAACATAAACGCGAACAACAGCAGCCAGGTCTCTTTTCCGCTGCGGTCCCAATCTCTGCCTTCTCAGAATGCGACCTTAACCGGAAACAGACCACCGGCCTTTACTCCGCATCTTGCTCCCATTTTCTGGCCAGCAACTTGTCATCTTGTTGGCCATGGATAGCCTCGCCGGCCACCTCCAGGTTCCTCCGGACCGGAGTCAGATCTTGGGCAGGCAATCATGGAAGGTGAGCAGCACAACAGTCGTGCTCGAGTCTTTGTTTGATAGTTTGGGAGCAGCATGCTTTTCTTCTCTTCTCCCCGCGTCACCGTCAGCCACATCCAATTAATCATGCCGCTTCCTAGACAAGATATATTGCCGTTGGGTCTCGCCAATCCACCACCAGAGATCGGCAAGGCAGCTACGGCTTCACGCAGAATGGCAGCATAGGCCGTGTCAACACCGTCATTTCAAAATCCGTGCAAAAGAATGCCATTGACGAACAATGTCTTTTCATTTACAAGACCAAGGTAAAGCGCAATGCTCCTCAGTCGCTACTCCCACGTCGCAACACACGCCACTGACAACGTCCATGTTTAGGAAGACTGGGAGCCGATCCAGCAATGGCCGCTTAGCTGTGTTTCCGATTGCCAAGTCCAGCTTGTCTCCCATCGCAAGCAGGGGCCTGTGTTACCAACTCTTGTGGTCACAGTTTCCGACAATCAACGAAAGAGACGATCAAGCCGAGCTGCAGGTTTTATTTCTTCCAACAAAGACACAGGAGTGACGACGTTGTGGTTTCGCACGCCTCCCGATAACCGCCATCCCACTCTTCACGAATGGTCTCGATTCATCATGTCCAAGAAGAGCTCGCACGGCACGACAGAGAGCCCCGTGTCCCCGGTTTTCACGTCGCCGTTCCAAACACGATCCAACGACAATCCGGATTACTCCCCTCGACCAGGAAGCGGCAGCCGCGGTCTTCAGCACAAAAGCTCCACGGCCACCCATTCCACCGGGCCCCTGGATCGCGCAACCACCTTCAGCTCGGGCTCCCCAAGCCTACGATCGAAACGAAGCGATATTTCATCCCCTTCTAGTAACAACCATCCGTCTCAAAAGGTGCAGTATGCAATTCCTGAACAGCATTATACAACCATTAGGCCCGGCGATATTGTATCGTCGGGTCCAAATGGAGAGTACCAGGGTCAGTTCATCGAAGGATGGACCTCGGCCCAGGGAAGGTCATCCATGATGAGCTCACCCTCCCGAGGCAGGGATAGCATAAGCTCACACAGCCGGCAGCTTTCTATCCTCGATGAAGCGTCTCCTCCTTGCCCTGGAGAGACCATTTTGGACAGAGCCTTTCAGCTGGGACACATCCCTGGCGCCGGTTCGTATGTTCCCGGACAGGAAAAGCTCAGCTCCATTGCGAGGTTTGATGCCCTAATGCGCGATGCCGAGGAGAAGCGGCGAAAGCGGGACACGATCCAACAGGCCCAACAAACAACCATGACAAGTGCGTTTGATCATGACGATTCCTCAGATGACAATGGGGCAGACCCTGCCTCGGACGATTCCGACTCTGAAAGCGATGGCTACTCCCAGAGACGGAACCAGAACGAGCAACATGGCGCACCACTCATGTCGCCATCTGCTCAGCGGGCCTTGGCGTACATTGCAGGCCGCCACGACGGCGGTACTCTGAAGAACCCAAAGTCTCATCGCCCGGGTATGTCGAGGAACAACCTTAGTTTTCATGCAGATTCCGCTCCCACATCCACTATAATCGCGCCACCCTCGCGTCCACACACCGCCCACGCCAAGAGTAGGCCCAAAGCCTCCCGAGCACAAACCACGCCTCATCTGATACCCACAGCCACAGCAGCACCGGATTTATCCTCGATGACGTCCGGCAAGGCCCAGGACAGCGGACGCCATCGTTCCAGCACAACTGCGGAAAAGCGACACTCCAACTCGAGTGCCAAAAGGTTGAGTTTCACCGAGTTTGCCAAGAGGTTATCTAGCACCAGCAGCTTACTGCTCGTCCAGACGAACGCAAGTGGAGGGAGCAGCCGTGCCAGCAGCGAGGTCGACGCCCAGCCGTGCCCGTCCGCGCCGCGCACCAACCTGACTCTCCGCGGGACAGGACCTCTGCCACCACGACCCCGGGACCGCGAGGACCAAGATAGACGGTGCGCATGGCGAAGCAGCGTTGGCATGGTCGGCACCGAAGGAGGCTTTGTATAGAGTCGATTCTGGTGAGGGACCCTCTCGACCACGGCCAAGCTACCAGCTCTCTACACTACCGCACCGGCACCAGACCATCACACCAGGAACATTTGCGCCCAGTCCTCCCGGCCGCCAACCACCTACTATGAACATTATTCGACTCTTGGCAATTCTACAGCGCGTATACGAAATTTTTCAATGCCAAAAACAGCATTCCTACATCGTCACGACCCCTCACGACGGCACTTGATTCACGTCCATTTCATTAACGACGGGGAATTCGTCCCTCTGCACAACGGGCAAAGCGTTTCAGCGCCGGGCATATATATATATATCCCCCCCTCCCCTTTTTCCCGATTTTTACACCAGGTGGGAAAAGCCGCATCACTTGCCACCCGCCCGTCTCATTCACTCGACATTTGCGCATCTGCATACCCGGTGTATTTTGGTGCCGGGCCGGCGGCGAGGGCACGTCGCTGCGGCGGCGCCTCATGATTTAGCGAGATTTACGATACCATGTGCATTCACCCTAAGCTATTTTTTGTTCCTGTACATATTGTCATTTATGGCGGCAAAAGAAGGACGGGTGTATTTTATTTCCGCAGACGCAACTAGTTATGAAATACCACACTGCGCTCTTCCTAGCTCTCGTGCAGCACCAACATGCTAACCGTGATGGCTGGCTTGACGTCAGTGTCGCTTACTCGTAACACTGCTAGTACTTGCCGCACTGTGATTGTTCCGGGGTCAGTCTTAGTAGCCCCCGCTATTGCACGAGGATTGCGCACATGTCATGAACTACACCGTCATTTCCGAACTGTGGGACACGAAATTGCGTAGTGGACATAAGTGGCATGGTTATGAGGAAAATGTCCAGCATCAGATATATACGCCGACTTGGCCATGTTTTGATTATATTGCTCAATTCTACTGCATCCTTTTCCGGTCATCTCATGACCCAATTGTGCCTACCGTGCGGCTCTTTGCGGTAATTGCCACCTCCACCTATCCCACACGGTTAACATGCGTAATACCTGTGTTAACAGCGCACCCGCTCCATGCTCAATGCTCAATGCTCAATGCTCAAATACCCGGGCTCATTCATTTCACGCGACCCCTCTGACTAGTCACATTTTGTACTGTTTCATCGATATTCCTCTCCGTTCTGCCTCGTCCAACAACCCCGTCAACCCCCCACGGACCACTCAGCGAATATACTGGGCAATGGCCTCCTGCTGTTCTGGGGGAAGTCTCTGGGTGATGAAACCTTCAATAGCCCCACCGTGTCGCCGGTTGGCTTCAACCATGTACTGCTTGACCCACGTCGTCACGTTTTGAACATCAGGGAAGTCGTCGCGAGCCAGGGGTCGACACGTGTTGAGAGCAGTATATGTCATGCCGAATCCAATATCATCGACTGAACTCTCCGTTATGATCTCGTCGCCTTGGCCAGCGGCAACAGCGGGAGGGTTTGCGAGCAGGGACAGCAGAATACGGCAGCTGTTGGCCCAGCCTTTCATAAACTTCTGCCCAAACACCTGTGAATCGCACAATGTCTTGGTCAGTGACACGACTGCCGTTTTGCGGTCAACGGGCTTGGCGAGCTTCTCTGTCTCAGCAAGCACAAATGGTGGATACACTTGAGCAAATGCACCTGCATCCAGCTGGTCTGATTGCTTGATGAAGAAGTCCGCACCATAGCCGGCTTCAAGTCTGGCACTGACCAGATGATAGAAGCGGGCGAAACGGATCTTGAACGAGTCGGCAGGAGACCCCTGCAGCTTGGTGTACAGAAGCTGCAGAATCGTGCCAAAGTATTTGTCCAGCGCAGAGCTATGGGGTCGAGTTAGCTAACGTATCTTGTCATGGACTAGAAGCTGTTCCAGGGCAACACTTACGGCTCAAACGAGTTGACAATGGCATCCAAAATGTCAAAGGCCTGGACTTCGGACTTCTTGAATGCAAGCAGTTTTTGGAAAATGCCAAGAACAGCTTCCAGCTGATTGTTCTGAATAACCAAGCTTGATGCCTTGGGAATGACAGCAGATAACAGACGAACGCAAGCAGGAACGTTGCCACGGGTCTCCCACAAAGGCGCAGCCAGAAGAGGGCCCAGAAGACTCTTGAAGTTCTCAGAAACAGCGTCTGCGGGACTTGACTCGAGAAGCTGGGCAAGAATTTGGAAAATGTAAGGAATGAACTCGGTAACATCTTCAGTAAGGATCAGATTAAATGGCTCCCACAGCTTCTGATTGAAAACCGCGGTATTGGCCCCAGAGCAGTATCGTACCAATGCACCCATAGCCTCGAAGTGATAGTAGTAGAACCTTGGGTTGCTAGGGTTGTGCTTCATGACGTTGGTAATGAGAATAAGGTGGGTCAAGACGTTATCTAGCATTGGCGCGGCACCATCCTTGATGACGATGAGAATTCTCATGACGCAGCGCATCAAGAACTCGTTTTCTTGCAACTTGGCGGCATTAGTTTCGCGCTCAATCAGCTTGAACAAGTGGTTAAGAAGGTCCTTTGCAAAGGGCTCAATGTCGGTTCGGGGGAACATTTGATTGCCCACATCATCGGCCAAGAATAAAACACGTTCAACAGCAATTGCAGCGTACGTGTAGACAACATAGTTGGACGAGTTCATGTTTTGAATCAATGGCGGTAAAGCGAGCGTCCACTGTTCCTTGGACAGTTGACTGCGGAATGTGTAAAGATATTTAATAGCATCAACTTTGGAGATGGGCTCCACCCCCTCGCTCGCCATGAGATCTGCCGCAATATGCTGTTCAAAGAACTCGACAACATTGACAAGTGGGTTCACAGTCTTGACCCCCTGTGCGGCGGTGACAGCTCCCTTGGCGGCAATAGACAAGAATAGATAGACGGCCGTGTCCTTGGCCTTCCAGTCTGTCTTGCCCTGGTCAAGATAGTGGGTGATATACTTGGACACCGCGGTTGTGACGGGAGTCTCAAATTTTTCTTGCAATTTTCGCAAGAAATCCGTGGAAGACCGGCGTCTTGAGTCCGTATCTGAACCCTCTAGATCTCGTCGAATAAACTCGATGGGTTCGTCTTCGAACATTTCAATGTCTGATTCTCTCAGGGCAACATTAGGCAAGATGACTTTTTCGACAATTTGAGACAAAACATTCTCATTGTTGAAAACAGCAGCGTGCTCAGCTGTACCGGCGACCGCGGTCAGGAAGTGTAAGCTCTTGCTCACGAGGTTGTCATACTTGGTTTGAGGCCCAACTGTCGATAGTAGGTTCCACGCGCTCGTAATAAAAGGTGCGCAGTATTTCGAAAAGTCCTCATCATACTTGATAGTATAAAGCTCCAGCAACTCGCAAATTCCTGCCTTGGCTGTGTCGACAATACTCGCCTCATCGTCATCATCTGTCTCGAGCAGCGGGTTGTTATAGGTCAGGTATTTGTGGAGAAGCTCAGAGATACTCGCAAGGTTCTCTTCAAAAATCGGGGGAAGGTCGTGAGAGGACATATCATGTAGGATCTTGATTTGCATGTCGAGGGTCTCGAACCACCCCTTGAGGGCATCTTTGTCGTTGGCATGCGCGGCGATTTTGCTGTCAGTAGTCTAGGCGATGTGTCAGCATCCCAAAGATAGTGCTACACTTGAACAACTTACCACCAGCAACTGAACAAAAGGCTGGCCGAACGTGGTGATGACGTGGTTGATTTCGATATACAACTCGTTGGATCGATTTAGAGGGCGCCATCGGTTAAAAATCGAATGAGCGACTTCGAGGACGCCGACATTGACCTTGGGATCCGTGGTAGAAAACCGACTAACCAGTTCCTAATTATTCAGCTCAGCAAAAGCTCCCGGAATACGGCGACATGGACAGATCGTACTTGGGTCAGCGTATCCCACCGCCTCCAAAAGTCGGAGTCTGCAATGACGCTGATTGCTTCGCCCAGCTGTTTCTGAACATTTGGCGGGCTCGAGATCATCAAACCAATCAGGCGCTCCTTTATTATCTGAACCTCATCCTGTGAAATTTTGTAGTTGCCTTCCTCATCCTGAAAAACACGTACAGCTTTAGTATTTCGATCGAGGGTCGAGGTGGGGGGTCGGTACGGGCACGCACCACGTAGTTGGAACGTATGAAGTTCTTGAAGGCCAAGGAAGCAGCGAGTCGGGTATTGGGGGGAAGAGAGTCGGAATTGACAATGTTCAGCAAGGTGAGCGAGTATTGGGGCTTGGTGGCCTCTTGCTTCAGAGCATTCTCGGCTGTAGATGTGTTTTGTTTATTAGTACTGGAGAGCGGGGCAACGGCAAAGCAAAGAGAAAAAAAGTCAGGACGGAGGAATCTGCCGTACCTTTACGGTGCTGGGAAGGATCAAGGGTTGCATTCAGCAGCTGAGAGATTTTCCCAATGTCGGCCGCCATGGTGAGACCTCGTGGAAGAGAGCTGCACTGTGGTTGTGACGTTTGGAGATGGAGAGAGGCGGTAGTGTTTGTTGGAAACAAGAGATGTGATGTGGAGGACTTTCTGGCGTTGCGCAGCTGTTCGCCTTTCCATGGCGACGGGGCGACCAGGGTCAACCACGGGTTGCGTGTGGGGAGCTCGGATCAGATCAACGGTACGGAGAAGACGGGGTGCGCTTGCACGAAGCTGTGTCGGTCGTGCCATTTTCATCTAGAAACTGGTGGATAGGGAGACAAGTCCCATATCTTCCCCCGTATGCGCTTTTGATGGCCTTTTTTTTTTCAATATTGTATAACAGTTCGTCCTGCAACTGTTTATATTAGCGTCTTGTGGATCTCGTGGCTCTGCCAAGATCAAGCCCGCCCCGTCAACTGCCTACCTGCCTACTAAGTAGGTATACATGCATAATAGAGTACACAAATGGCGAATAAAGCATAATTGACATATTGATCACGGCATCAATCATTCTGTTGCCCTGCAAAATGATCAAGCTTTCAGTGAACGTGGAACAGGAACCGAAGCTTGTCGGTCCCGCCACAAAGAGCAATCTTGGCGCTAAAGCCC